ACTATCTGCGGGACCAATTTCGTCTGATCCAGTTTCTTCAAGCTCTTCAGCCTACATACGAAGCAACTCGAGCTTCCCTTCTTAGTCGTACTCCGCTGCCTACTCTCGATCTTGCTCTCCAACAACTTAATTCTGAAGATATCCGTTTGAGTACTATGTCCGCTATCCCTACGGTGTTTGGAACTGACATTGCTGCAGCAGTTCAACCACCTCGTTCTCCCATCACTTGCTATTCGTGTCATAAGACTGGTCACATAGCATCCAAGTGCCCCAACCCAGTTCCAGATTCGACGCAATATTCATCTGTCAAATGCAACTATTGTCATGCAATTGGTCATACCATTGACAAATGTCGTAGGAGACAACGGGTAAACTCTCGGCAGTCTTATCAACCAAATAAGTCTTCTGTTGCTGCTGTCACTGAAGGGTCATCAAGTGTCTCTCCTGTCTCTGAACCTTCCATATCACTCTCTGAATTTCAGAACCTTTTATCCCAACTAAAGTCTGGTAATTACTCTAGTGCCCTTTCTACAACTACAGGTACGTCTAAATGGTTATTTGATTCTGGTTGTTGCAATCATATGACCTCTGATTCAAATTGCTTATCTTCTCTTACCACTCCTACACCTGCACCTATAATCCACACTGCTGATGGTTCTTGTATGCAAGTCAATAATGTTGGGCATGTATCTACACCATCTCTTACTCTACCCCATACTTATTACATTCCAAACCTTACCCTTAACCTTATTTCTGTGGGTCAATTGTGTGATCTTGGATTTGACTTGCATTTTTCTCTATCTGGTTGTGTTGTGCAGGATCCAAAGACGGGGAAAACAATTGGGATAGGCCATAAGAGAGGTCGAATGTTTGAATTGGTGTCTCTGCATCTACCGTCTGGATATCTTAGTTCCCAGGTTGCCGCAACTACTTCTCCTACTATTTCTCTTTCTCCCTTTGAGTTGTGGCATCATAGATTAGGTCATGTTTCTTCAAGTGTTCTTACTTCATTAGTCAATAGCGGTCAATTAGGGTCCATCAAGTCATCCACTTTAAAGTGTATTTCCTGTCAACTAGCCAAACAACCAGCATTATCTTTCAATAAAAGTTCTCATGTTTCTACTGCCCCTTTTGATTTAGTTCACTCAGATATTTGGGGTCCATCACCAACCGCTACTATGGGTGGATCCAAATACTTTGTCATTTTTATTGACGATTTTTCCCGATATACATGGATATACTTATTCCATAATCGTTCTGAACTCACCTCTATCTATAAGACTTTTGCCAAAATGGTTCAAACTCAATTCTCAAAAGTCATTAAGGTTTTTCAAACGGATAATGCCATGCACTACAAGAAATTTTGGTTTTAGTGATGATTTTGTATGGTCGCTAAGACTCTAGTTCAAAGATCTTGCCCAGGCACTCATCAACAAAATGGAAAAGCCGAACGAAAACACCGTCATATTCTAAATTCTACTCGCTCTTTAATTCTTTCAGCCTCTTGTCCTGAATCACTCTGGGGTGAAGCTGCTCTTACAGCCGTGTACACCATAAACCGTGTCCCTTCACCTGTAATTGAAAATGAGACACCTTATTCTCGTCTTCATGGGCAATCTCCTGATTATTCAACTCTTAAAGTGTTTGGGTGTGCTTGCTTTGTTCTTCTTCAACCCCATGAGCATAATAAACTTGAACCTAGGGCTCGATTATGTTGTTTTCTGGGATATGGTATTGAACATAAAGGTTATCGTTGTTGGGATCCAATTTCCAATCGTCTTCGTATTTCTCGTCATGTTGTCTTCTGGGAAGACACAATGTTTGCATCTGTGTCTAAGTTTAGAATGTCACACTCTACTCCTTTTTTCACGAATCCTTCTTGTGAACTTTTTCCATCCGAAACAGAATCCGTTAATTCTCAATCACCCTTAACTTCGGATCCTTCGGTTCTTGTTGAGCCATCAAGTACTTCGACCACTGCGGATGTGCCTATTTCATCTGGTTCTACCCCTACTGAGGATCCTGTCAATGAAACTGATCCTAGTATTTCAGAGGAATCTGTTCGTCGTTCAACTCGGGTAAGACATATACCCTCTCATTTACGTGATTTTCATTGTTTTTCTGCCATTCTTTCTCTTCATGAACCTCAATCCTATCGAGAGGCACAAACTGACCCTCAGTGGCAACAAGAAATATCTGATGAACTTGATGCGTTGCATAAGACTGAAACTTGGGATCTAGTTGATCTTCCGAAGGGTAAGACTCCTATTGGTTGCAAATGGATTTTTAAAGTTAAAACCCGTTCTGACGGGTCTATTGAACGTTATAAAGCTCGTTTGGTTGCCAAAGGTTTCAACCAAGAATACGGTGTTGATTATGAGGAAACATTTGCTCCTGTTGCTCGATTACCCACTGTTCGCAGTCTCATTGCCATATCTGCTATTCGGAAATGGTCTTTATTTCAGATGGACGTCAAAAATGCTTTCCTTCATGGTGATCTGCAAGAAGAGGTGTATATGAAACCTCCTCCTGGATACCCTCATACTTCTGGACAGGTGTGTCGCCTTCGAAGGGCATTGTATGGTCTGAAACAAGCACCCCGTGCTTGGTTTGAGAAATTCAGTAGCACGATCTCCCAGCTTGGCTTCACTAGTAGCTCTTATGACTCGGCACTTTTCATTCGTAAAGTTGATACAGGAGTTATTTTTCTACTGCTTTATGTTGATGATATGATCATTACTGGTGATGATCTTACAGGCATTGAGTCTCTCAAACAGTCTCTTCATCATCATTTTGAAATGAAGGATCTTGGAACTCTCAGTTATTTTTTGGGGCTTGAGATCACCACTGCTTCTGATGGTTACTATCTTTCTCAAGCTAAGTATGCTGCTGATCTTCTCTCCCGCGCAGGAATTACAGATACCAAGATTGCTTCCACTCCTCTAGAGATGAATACTCGACTTACTCCTAGGGATGGAACTCTACTTGCTGATGCTACTCTCTACCGACAGTTGGTTGGAAGTCTCATTTATCTCACTGTTACTCGTCTTGACATCGCTTACGCTGTTCATCATGTTAGTCAGTTTATGGCGGCTCCACGATCTACTCATTTCTCCGCCGTTCTTCATATACTTCGCTACGTAAAAGGTACTATGTTTCATGGTCTTCATTTCTCAGCTCAGTCCTCGCTGACGTTGTCTGCTTATTCTGATGCTGACTGGGCTGGTGATCCTACCGATCGACGATCCATCACTGGTTATTGTTTTTTTCTTGGAGATTCTTTGATCTCTTGGCGCAGTAAGAAACAATCTATTGTCTCTCGTTCTAGTATTGAATATGAGTATCGAGCATTAGCAGACACTACTTCAGAGTTACTATGGCTTCGGTGGTTGCTTACTGACATGGGTGTATCACACCAAAGTGCAACAATTATTCATTGTGACAATCAAAGTGCTATTCAGATTGCTCACAACGATGTTTTCCATGAGCGAACCAAACATATTGAGAATGATTGTCACTTTATTCGCCATCATTTGATACACAATACTCTTCGCCTTCAGTACATTACGTCCGCTGCCCAAACTGCTGACCTTTTCACCAAAGTGCACCCACCAAGTCGATTCAACACACTCGTTTCCAAACTCAATTTGGTCTCTGTTGACCCAACTTGAGTTTGAGGGGGGATGTTAATATATATTATATCATATATATGATATCATATATATTATATCCATTATTATGGGATTTGATTAGATATGTTAATATTCTATATCCATAATTTAGGGATTTGATTTGATTAGGTTTCCTTGTATAGCTTGTTATTTTGTGTATATATACCCTCACCTCTATTGAGAAGAATACACATTATTTTCATCTCAATTCTTTTCGTAACACAAAACAAACAGGGGAAAAAAGAAAAAAAATCAACACGACTTTGATCAATTCACCAACCAATGTATTTCTGGAAAGCTATGAGTTCAAAAATTAGATCTTACACAAAATCAAAGCAAAAATGTTCACGCATACGAACATAAGTAGATGATACTACAAAAACCACAATTAAATGAGATATTTGCAGAAATCAAAAGTAAGATCCTAGAAAAAAGTAACTTTACGAGATATAATTCACAGCATAAACTCACAATTACCCAAAGAAGAGGATGCTCATTCGTCAGCCGGAAGAACGATGAGAGAGGGAGACGAATGCAGGAATGAACGAAACATAAAGTTCATCAATAATTAGGTTACTATTTTATCATAATTATTGCTCTGTAATTAAACTTAGATATTAATGTTAATTTATAATTAAATTTTAGCTTTAAGGGTTTTTGTGTAATTTTACTCATAAGGTAGGCATCGTACAATTTTTTCCTGGGTTCGTACTAATCTGGCGTGGCACAATTTTATTGGAAGATTATGGTCCGAGAAGTACAACCCTCTCGAACCCTAGACAACCCCATCTATCTTTTGTTCGTATTGTCATTAATTACTAATTATAAATTGAACCAATGGATTTTGTAACCTCTATACAAAATCCATTATACTATATAAATTAATAAAGGGGAAATTACCAAAACCCCCTGAGGTAAGTCTGAATAACGGAAATCCCCCCCACGTTCTCGTAATTACGTCAACCCCCCTGTGTATGCAGACATCTTACAAATCGATCTAACGGTGTTAAACTCGATAGAATCTTTTTTATTCTCCTGAATATTCCTCCGATAATACCAATTTTGCCCTTGTACACGAAATTACCCTTAGGGGGTAATTGTAAGCATTTTATTTAATGCTTACAGGTAAACCAAAAAAAAAAAAATTAAAAATCCAATCTTTAATTTCTTTTTTTGAACTTCAAGAAAATAAAAATTGAGTCTTGAATTTATTACAGGATCCACCAGACAGGCCAAACGGAGAATTACCAAGAACAAGAATGTTCGAAGAGAACTCACAAATCTGGAGCATGTCAAATGAATTCTGCCCACATGGCACTGTTCCAATTAGAAGAACATCTGAAAAAGATTTCCTCAGAGCAAGCAATGTTAAAAGATTCGGCAAGAAACTCCGAAACCCTATTCGCAGAGATTCTTCCACAAACGGCCACGAAGTAATTAATTAAAAATTCATGTCTGAGTAATTAATTTTTTGTTTGCAGCATGCTGTTGGATATGTGAGTGGAGATGAATACTATGGAGCAAAAGCAAGTATTAATGTATGGGCACCTAGGGTTTCAAATCAATTTGAATTCAGTTTATCTCAAATGTGGGTTATAGCTGGTTCTTTTGGTGATGATCTCAACACCATTGAAGCTGGTTGGCAGGTTTTTTTTTTTTTTTTAATTAATTAAATTAATTAATTATAATCTAATTTTAATTAATTAATTATTATTTTCCATATTTAACAGAAGGATATAATAGACATTTCACATTTTTGGTTAAAAAAATTCGGTCAACCGTTAGTCAAGGGGGGTTTTCGTAATTACGAGAACGTGGGGGAGATTTTCGTTATTTAGGCTTACCTCAGGGGGTTTTGGTAATTTGCCCATTAATAAATTACTAATTACAAATAGATACTTTTTAACTCTCTGGATATTTAGATTCTGTGAGGAGAAATGAACTACTACATATAACCTATGTCATCTCTAAATACAATAATATATACAGTTAAACCTTTACAAATTAATACAGTTGAGACCATTAAAATTCTATTAATTTAACGAAATATTAATTTATCAATAAATTAATAATTATTAATTTATACATTAATTAATAATTTATTAATTTATTAAATTATTTTTATTCATATTTTCAATAAATACTGTTAGAATCTATTTGGATTCTAATAAACAAGGGATGAGTAAAGACTTGTGCAAGAAGTCCTTATTTACCGTGAAACACAAAAGGGAAGTCCCCTTGTTTAGTTTAATTCTTTAATTTGTCATTAATTATTTTTTTATTTATTACGGAAGCCTATTAATAGGAAATAGTCCAACAAATCTTGGCTTTGTGCAAGACATATCAAGAAAATTTGTTTCCTTGATATTTTTATTAATATTATATTAATTGGTGTGGTGATAAGGGAAGTAGTGTTTTGATAAGTCAAGAAGATATTTTATTATACGTAATATGAGAAGTCCTTTCCTAATGTAATTCTTGTGTTTCACGTGAATCAGGTTTCTCATAAGATGCAATATATAAGCAGCTTCTGGTGTTATTATTCGGATGTCTTTTTATCGAGAGAAGAGTTCAGAGAAAATATTTTTTCCTCTCGTTTTTATTGCTCCATCGTGATACGTGATTTTCATAGAAAATATATCAGCTTCAAGGCTTTGTGGTGAAGACACCAAGATTCAACGAGTATCACAAGTTTGCTTCTTCTGTACAAAAAGAAGATCGGTTCTTCGGGAGAGGGGCTTAAACAGATCTCGGGAGGAGATCGATCCGCCGACTGAGGGATTCAGCGTTGAAGGGAGTTCAACCGTGCGGAGCAAGGGACGTGCTGCAAATTGAAGATTTATAATTCAGCGTAGTATACAAGAACGGCGTCAACAAAGAGGGAGTCTTTGTATTTTGATTAAGTCCTACTATTGTATTCGTAAAACTAAAAATTAGTAAATTTTATTTGCAGGTCCCCGTGGATGTAGGGTACAATTGTATCCGAACCACTTTATATTTGTGTCTCGTTTATTTCTGTTTTTACGAACTGCTTCACGAACTGTTGCAACACTTCACGCAACAGTAACGAAAAACTGAATTTGACACAAACAATTTATATCTGCACGAAATAAATTCTAACAATTGGCATCAGGAGCCTGTCACTAGATGCACTTAGTGAGATTTTGGGATTTAATTTTTTAATTTGTTTTGTGCAGATATGCTTCATCGTGAAGGAGCGTCTACAGTACGACCACCTCTCTTGGATGGATCAAATTACTCTTACTGGAAATCGAAGATGAAGATGTTCATCAAGTCAGTTGATGAACGAGTTTGGCGTGCTATCGTGACTGGTTGGACCTCGCCCATGGCTAAAGGAACGGATGGTATGCAAACGGTAAAACCAGAAGATGCATGAACTAATGAAGAGATATTACTTGCCAATTACAACTCGATGGCGATAAACTCAATATTCAGTGGCGTTGGTGACAATCAGTTCAAACTGATAGCATCGTGTGAATCAGCAAAAAGGGCATGGGAGATTCTACAAGTGACGTATGAAGGCACATCAACTGTTAAAACATCTAAGTTGCAGATGCTAGCCACAAGATTTGAGAGTCTTCATATGGAGGAGGACGAGACGATTGCTGATTTTCACGCTAAACTATGTGACATTTCAAATGAATCGTATGCACGAGGTGAACAATACTCGGAAACAAAGTTGGTAAGAAAGGCACTACGTTCATTACCAGAAAGATTTGCTTACAGAGTTGCAGCAATCGAAGAAGTGAGGGATATCAATACGCTGAAGCTAGATAAACTCATGGGTAAACTGCAAACCCAAGAAATGAATTTTAGAACAAATATTCGAGAAAAGAAAAAGGTGAAGAATGTGGCATTCCAGGCTGACGCTTCCCATGGCATCTCACAAGACCAAACATTTCATGAGTATGACATTGATGTTGAAGAATCCTTAGCAATTATGTCAAATAACCTCGAAAGCTTGCGTCAAAAGCTTGAAAAATATAGGAAGTTCCTCTCAATCAGGTAAGTATGTTAACCCTAAAAAAATTAAAAAGTTTTCTAATAATGGTTATTCTGATGATGCAAAGTCTAGGAGAACACTTTGAAGAAAAAGAGGATGTCACTCACCACTGTTTGGAGTGATACATAGGACAGTGATGAGGATGAGAACACCAAAGAAGATCAAACCACAAACTTTATGGCATTCAGTGGTACTACTCAGATAAGCAAGTGCAAAGAGATTGTCGTTGAAACTGTTGCAACAGTTTGTCCAACAGAACTCAGGTATGATGAATTATCTTCAAATAAGGACAATAGTCTGACTTCACCATTTAATTTTGCAGGTGACTCTAAGAGCAGTAGTGATTGTTGAATTTGAATGCCTATCAAAGTCCACTCATCTGTTGAGACAGACTACATGTTACGACATTAGGTGACGTAACAGAATTGTTGTGTTGTCACAGTAATAAATCTACGAAAAGCAGAATAAAGAACACAACAATTTAATGTGGTTCGGATACAAACGTACCCTACATCCACGAGGACTTGCAAAACTAGTTCAGATTTATGTGTACATTAATAGGACTTCATAAAACACTAAAGACTCCCTCTTTATGTGATACGCCGTTCTTGCACACGACTCGAACTTGTTGATAATCAAAGTAATTCCTCCTCCGCACTCTTGGACTTCCTCCAATGTTGAACTTCCTTCAAACGGCGGATCGACCTCTCCCGATTCTTTTAAGCACTTCTCCCGAAACGCCGATCTTCTTTATGGCCTGGTAGAAGAAACCTGTTCTGTTGCCACACCTGCCGTGCAGACAGGGCTGCAGCACGGGCTGCACCCTTCAAAGCCTTTATGCTGGGATTTTTCTTATTAAAGCTCCATCGGACTCATATGAGGTTGAGGGCCTTCCTTATATATGCACGAAATCCACCACCCTAAACCTAACTTGAGCCCTAAGAAATCGATTAACTAGGTAATAGAATCCTAGTCGATTTCTACTTCTATTCTAGATAAGTACAAAAGATACCTAACTAGAATATAATACATGAAAATAAATCTAAGTCCTAATAAAAATATTACAAGAATAGGACTCTAATTAATTCCAAAATAAACATGGAAAACAAATCTTTGCCAATCTTTAATTTCCACGTATGGCGGATTTCTTCAATCTTCAATAACGGAAATTTGGTGCCAACAGTGATGATGAAGAGCCAACCCTCGAAGAGGTCAAAGATGTATATGAAAAAATGTATCGGAAGTGGCTTGAAGTATCGGAGGTAAATAAGCGCCTTGAAAAGGATAAGCGTGTTCTCATAGAGGAAAATGAAGTGTTGAAGGTAAGAATTTCTACTCTTGAACAAAATGCTATTTCTACTAGTAGAGAAACATATAGGTTGAAGGTTAGATTTTCTCAAACCCAAGATGCTATTTCTAAGTTTAATACTGGTAGGATAACTTTGAATGAAATTTTGACCAAAAATCAGCCGAACTCTGGTCGTATAGGTAAAGGGGGTAATCAGCTATCTAATGATGCATTGAAACAGAAAGATGATCCAAAAAGAAAAATCAATTTTGTTAAACAATCCACTGTTTCACAAACTGTTGCGACACTTGCAGCAACACAATCATCTCAAAGAAAAGTTTTTGTCCCTACCTGTCATTTTTGTCATGTTCCTGGTCATATACGACCTAAGTGTTTTAAGTACTTGAAAATGGTTAAAAGAATAATGGCCTGCTCACTACTTTCCGCTAAAATTGATCACACTTTTATGCCGTCTCAAAAACCCAAGATAAAGGTTGATTTAGTGAATAAAACTCAACAAAAAAAAGTGGGTAAAGAAGTCTGAACTTAATTGTTTATCTGCCATTACTTATTTAAAATCATGTGATGATAGTACTAACTGTTCCATCAGTTCTGGTCACAAATCTAGTTTGGGGAATAAAAAACTTGGTAACCTGAATTGTGATAATTTGTGTGCGAAAAATAAGTTTATGAATCCAATTCAGCATTCGAGAGCTAAGCTTACTGATATTTGTCATTGTTTCATAAGTGGCTTGGTCGAAAAGGGGGTTGTCTCAATTGATTATGCTGCAACGGAGAATGAATTCACTGATGCTTTTGCAAAAATCCTTGATGCACAGAGATTTGATTCCTTGCGAAAATCGCTGGGAATTTATGTTGTTTAATCTGATGCAGTTGCATGAACTGTTGCAACAGTCTGTGTGTCTAGACTTGCAACTTTTAGTAGTAGGACATTTCATATGTTTTTGCATCTCATATATGACCTACATTAAGCATACTGCATAAGATTGAGACAAATGTGAATTTGGTACTTCGTGTACTTCTAAACTTTGTGGGGGTAGAACTTCACCAATTCCCAAAATGATTACTTAAAAGGCTCCAACTTATTTATTTCTCTAAATAGTCTTGTCATGGTTGGATGTTTTTATAGGGAAAAGCCGCCTCTTTTGATGAGTGAATGCTACTCTTGAACTACTGTTAGTAATATATATATCTACAACCATTTGGTCAGTGAATAGTTCGAAGCCTTTTTGAGTCGAGTCAGTAAATCACGTGGCCGAAAGCTCGCTACATGGCTCAATTAGAAAGCCCAGGGGACTACACATTGCACGGCCAATATAAATTACATATATGGTCAGTGAGTTCGAAGCCTAGTTGAGTTGAGCCAGTAAACCACTTGACTGAACACTCACTACAAGGCTCAATTAGAAAGCCCAGCGGACTACACATTGCACGACCACCATAATCTCGTTCCTTTTAATTGCTCTGTTTTTCATGGGAAAAAGCTACCATTAGACGTGTCTGTACGCTACCTAATAAGAGCATCCTTGTGTTTGACTTGGGATTATTAAGTTTATTGGTTGCATTGGCTAGGGGTGTGTACGGGTCGGTACGGGTCGGTTTTTGCAATAATCCAAACACGTACCGATAATATCGGTTTTTCATATTTTAAAACCGTGTATGTCGGTTTTTTTTCGGTTCGGTACTAATCGGTTTTTCGGTTTTCGGTGAACGGTATCGGTATCAATTCGGTTTATTTTCGCTTTCGGTTTCGTTATCGGTTCGGTATAAAACCGGTGTATAATTAACGGTGAATTTTGACTTCTATCACATTTCTTTGAGAAAATTAACAACAATAAAAAATCAACAAATAAAAAAAAAATAATAATAATAAAAATAAAAACCTGCTGCCATAAAAAAACAGAATGAGATTACAACTAATAAACTTGATGTCATTAATGTCATCTTCAAAAAAAGTTAACATGTTGCCTAACACAAAAGAAGTTCAGATTAAGTATCTGAGTACCAAAAAAACTTAAACAATGTAGCCACAACCCAAAAGAAGTCAAATTACACCACATATTAATAAGTCTCTAAACGGCAACAGAAACAAGTTTCAAAAAAACTTATATGGTAATTTAAACTTGAGTACTGATGAAGAATTGATTGAATTGTTTTGTATTCTTAAATCGGTTCGGTTCGGCAAATCGGTTCGGCAATTTTCTTTTTCTCCATACACGTACCGATTTTCTCGGTTTTTCAAAAAATATTTACCGTGTATGCGGTTTTAAGTCGGGACGGTATATATCGGCTCGGTTTTTTCGGTTTTCGGTTCGGTTTTTCGGTTTCTCGGTTTTTATGCTCACCCCTAGCATTGGCAGTTGGATTTTTGGGGATTGCGCTTATCGTGAATGTGAAGATAAATCCCATATGTTTTGTTTGTCTATGCAGTATCCTATTCACATATGTCTCTTCACTCATGTTTATTTCTCATATTTACTTCTTGTCTTGCATTAGGCATTATTTAAAAAAAAAAAAAAAGAGAGAGAGAGACGGGATTTTTGTTTATGTGCCGGTTAAATTTGATTTTTGTTGCAGCCGGATCTATTGAGCTTACAACTCGCAGTTCCACGTTTCGTATGAAGTTTGGCAAAGTCTGTAGTCTTTTTTATTTAATGTTGGATTTGATATCACTATCCTTTGATTTTCGCATTCCAATTATCGTGTGGTATTGAGTTGTGAGTTTGTGATTTTGTGTGCACGTTATGTATGGTGATTCTTCTCACTTACTTTCAAGATTCTCTCTTCGTTTGATCTTTTTGTTAAGTGTTTTAACAGATTGCTCGACACATCAAGATCATTAGTCCATGTCGATTTATCTATGCATGGTGATTGCCCAGAAAGGGGGAGAAAAGAACAGTAACGATGGCATGAACACAGAGGGAGTACAGACAACTGTTGAGACAGTGCATCAGACAGTTGGTGGAACAGTGCAGAAATACAGGATAAATAATGAGCATTGTGAAGAGAAGTATCATATATTTAGGGGGAGTAAATATTCTGACCAATCAATGTCAAATGGGGAGAGTGTTAGAATCTCGGTGGGATTCTAAGTCCACAACACGAAGTGGAATTCTATGGAGATGTGTATTAATAGGAGGAACATATTTTCCTTAGTTATCTCATTAGATAATTTGAGAAGAAATAATTTATCTCTCCATATTAACAGTTGAACGTGTGTATCCAAAATAGAAGGAATTTCACTTTTTCTAATATTGTGTTTATTGTCATTAATTGGTTTAGGTTTTCACAAGAATATAAAAGGAGGAGCTAATGCTGGCGTTATTTGCTGAGTCTTTTATCACGTGGATGATATACCACGTCGCCATCCAAGTCTACCAAGCCAAGTAAGCAAGGGGAAGAGTGAAGTCATTTACAAGAGAAGCTGCCTAAGTATCATTTATAGGGGGAGAAACACATGCAGGGAGAGGTGACTCCATTATGAACCACCTGCCGAAGCCACTACTGTGGGAACAGTTGCTGAAACTGTGGCACTTACTATTGCAGCAGTTGATGCCACTCTTGTTGATGAAAAAGATGATTATGATGAGTTGTTCATTTAATGTTGATGATGATCTTTAGTTTTATTGCTTCCGTCTATCCTCTGATTTTTTTATTATCAGGTATTTTATTCAGGGAGAGAAAATGACAAAAATCAATAAATGACAAATGGGGAGATTGTTAGAATCTATTTGGATTCTAATAAACAATGGATGAGTAAAGACTTGTGCAAAAAGTTCTTATTTACCGTGAAACACAAAAGGGAAGTCTCTTTGTTTAGTTTAATTCTTTAATTTGTCATGAATTATTTTTTTCTTTATTATGGAAGCCTATTAATATGAAATAGTCCAACAAATCTTGGACTTGTGCAAGACGTATCAAGAAGATTTGTTTCCTTGGTATTTTTATTAATATTATATTAATTGGTGTGGTGATAAGGGAAGTAGTGTTTTGATAAGTCAAGAAGATATTTTATTATACGTAATATGAGAAGTCCTTTCCTGATGTAATTCTTGTCTTTCACATGAATCAGGTTTCTCATAAGATGCAATATATAAGCAACTTCTGGTGTTATTATTCGGATGTCTTTTTATCGAGAGAAGAGTTCAGAGAAAATATTTTTTCCTCTCGTTTTTATTGCTCCATCGTGATACGTGATTTTCATAGAAAATATATCGGCTTCAAGGCTTTGTGGTGAAGACACCAAGATTCAACGAGTATCACAAGTTTGCTTCTTCTATACAAAAAGAAGATCGGTTCTTCGGGAGAGGGGCTTAAACAGATCTCGGGAGGAGATCGATCCGCCGACTGAGGGATTCAGCGTTGAAGGGAGTTCAACCGTGCGGAGCAAGGGACGTGCTGCAAATTGAAGATTTATAATTCAGCGTAGTATACAAGAACGGCGTCAACAAAGAGAGAGTCTTTGTATTTTGATTAAGTCCTACTATTGTATTCGTAAAACTAAAAATTAGTAAATTTTATTTGCAGGTCCCCGTGGATGTAGGGTACAATTGTATCCGAACCACTTTAAATTTGTGTCTCGTTTGTTTCTATTTTTACGAACTGCTTCACGAACTAGTTTAACACTTCACGCAACAGTAACGAAAAACTGAATTTGACACAAACAATTTATATCTGCACGAAATAAATTCTAACAAATATTTTTTTTTTAAATTATATACGTGTATTTTATTCATTGTAACATTAGTTCAATGCACTATAGAACCCGTTTCATGAACGAAAGCTCTTAAAACAACAATGATATTGAACAATATCATGTTGAGTTATGCGAAAGCTATACCCAAAGTTCTAACCATGTCAAGAAAAAGTGAGACGCGGGATTGATGGTAATATGAACTTCAACAAGAAACAAAAAGCAATTAAATTATATTTTATTTAACCGTCATAGATCTATATAATATGTATTGTACCATGTAATTTAAGAATTATTTTTAAGAATTATTATTTTATATATTATTTGGGGCTTCTTAAAATTTTCGAATGTGTATTATCTTATAAATTTAGCGAATTATTAATTTAACACGTTGTCCCTAAGTCGGGACCGGAAAAATCTATTATTTAAGAGAAATTATTAATTTATTCGGTATTATTTTATCGAGGTTGTACCGTAATATATATATATATATATATATATATATATATATATATATATATATATATATATATATATATATATATATATATATTCAGAGAGAGAGAGAGAGAGAGAGAGAGAGAGAGAGAGAGAGAGAGAGAGAGAGAGAGAGAAATATATGCAACATCCAAGTTTTATTAGCAATTTACCGTGAACAAATATCAAAGTTCCAAGAACACAGAACACAGACACTGCCAGCAGTAGTGATATCAAGTATTAAAGATGAACAGACTCGTCAATAACAATAATCATTATTGTTATTCATATACATATATTATTATGGGGATGTTTATATATAACTCATGAGCGACTGCATGCAGAGAAATGGGATAGACGACGAAGAAGTTGATTAGATATATAATTAGGTAATTAATTAGGTGTAGTGAACGATGATATATAATTATATAATTAGGTGCAATCGGTGGGGAAAGGGAAACCACAAGAAGTGGAAATTTTAAGGGCAGCAGGAGAGCGAAGGCAAGGGATCGTCGTCAGTTGACGAATAGCCCTTTTCGGCGGAAGTAAATATTGCAGAGGCGCATAGGTCTAGCTGCTGCTGATTGCAGCTCACTTGTGCTCTTGCAACTACTCCAACCTCATCTCCAACTATCGCCACAAGTACGACGAGGACACATATTATTGCTATTTTCGTATTCATCTCTCCCTCGTTTTTTTTTTTTTTTTTGCTTTGTGTTTTTGTGTTTGTGTGATGAGAAGTTCTGGTTTTCGGCACTATTTATAGATATAGAATACAAAGAAAAAAAAAAGGGTGAGGCAATAACTATATATTGACTATTGAAATTTGTACCTATGTTGTTATGGAAATTGGAATTACGGCTCACATTAATTAGAGGAGCCACGATTTTAATACTCATTGATATTAGTACTATGTGTTGTACTTAGCTTGGAAATATTAGAGTGGGTAGAGTTTGGCCGAATTTACATCAATTTCACAAGGCAGCTATTTCATAATATACATCGTGTAATTTTTAACTATGTATATTAGAGTGTGTGTGATTATGTACAGATTAACGATTAATAATAAAATCAACCGATATATTTTATCAGGTGCAACATATATCAGATAAACTATTTATATATGATAATAAATCACGTTTTTCTTTTCTTTTATCTCATTCGAATTTTATATCAAGACAGTCCAATATCCCGACCATTGCATCTCAAGTGTTAGAGGGGTTTTAGGGAGGATCGTGCGTGTACCGGCTGCATTTAATGGTATTAGAAAATTTCATATCAGTTGTTGTGGTATAATAATGTTAGGTATATATAACATTACTTCCGTACGGTTCAGTTTATAGGTAGTATGAACTCTAATATAAAATTAAATTGTATTAAAAATAGATTATACAATATTAAAATAATTTAGTTGGGAAAGTCCAATTACTAAGGGATGTGATAAATGTCGTTCGAGCTTTAATAATATCGTTACGACTTCAAACGTGATTTTGATTATTTTTAATTCCAAATTTTGCAAAACCCGAAAAATAGAATTTGTAGTATTCTGAGTTAGTTTTCTAATCCAACTTGAATCACCAAAATTGGACGTCGGACGAGAAAGATATACATGAATCAATGGATATATACTGCCCACAATTTTGATGTATTGAGGTATCTAAAATAAAAAATGTGACTCATTCATGGATAACTTTGTCACACGGCATCCAATCTAGCGGATTTAAGTTGGATTAGAAAGCTAACCCAAGGGACTACAGTTTTCGTGTTTCGAATTTTGCCAAAATAAAAATAAAAATATATCAAAATCAGGTTCGAAGTCAAAACGACATTAATGAAATTGAAACGATATTTAACATTTCAGTTACTAAAATAACATCAATATTCCTACAAATCCCAACAAAAAGAATGCATGCACTAAACAAAAAGCATAAATTAATCAAATCACATGACTTCTATGAGTGTTGATACAGTTCCATTTATTTGTTCTTAGTAAGAAATAATTAACATTTCAAATAAATAATTATCACAAAATAAATTGCAAATGAAAATTATAGAATAAAATCATGAAAAACAAAACTAAAAAGTAGCTTGGATTTGACAAAACCATAAAATATTATACTCGTCATATATGAAAGACAGAACAAATTAAATCAAGATAAGAAAAAGTTAAATTTGATAGACAAACAATAAATAAAAATTCCACAGTGGTGTGTAAGTGAGAGAGAGATTTTGCTTCACTCTTCGTATTATTAAAATTAGCAAATTCATTTTGTGTGCGCAAGAGACAGATTTACAAAGAAATTACAAAGAAGATGTTAACTAGATTCGATCAGGTCCAAATGGTATTTTTATACAGGAAATTGAATAGCGTGGTGGACCTTTTGGCTAAAAGATGAATTACTATGCAGTCGAACGAACTTTTGTTTTTGGAAAATTGCCATGAATTTATTCTAGATATTTTGTATAAGGACTCATCCTCTGTATTTTTCTGTTGTACTACAAATCCCTGTAACCGAACTTTGTTTTTGACTATGTAATATAAATATCTTATTAATGTTAAAAAAAAATTATGCCACATTTAATCCGATTCTATTACCGTCCAAGAACATAACATGACAGTTGGCACTAGTAATAATCAGATATTAAAGATCAACAAACTCATTATATAACTTATATATTGAGATAACACTTAACAATGGGAAAATGGGATATATAACTTAGACAATGATAGTCACAATATATTATGTAATAAAAGCATGATCGACATTATTATAATATTTATTTATGTAATAATAAATATAAAATATCTAACTTAGCATTTGGGATATGGGATACGGCAAGAGCTGGCAACTTTCTTGGCACCAGAAGATTTGATAAACTTCTGAAGATTAGGGTTCCTCATATACTGGCAAAGACAAGGCCTTTGTTCCTTTAGCTTCGCACAACACGTGGCACTCGGCTTGCTCGACGACGTGATCGCGGAGGCGCACGGGCTCAGCTGCAGGGGATTGCAGCTCACCGCACCTCTTGCAACTTCAGCTTGATCACCTGCAATCACCACAAATATTACTACACAACATATTATTGCTATTTTGGTATTCATTCTTTTTTTTTTTTTTTCTATTTTGATTTTTTGTTTTTTTTTTTTGGCTTTATGTTTGTGTTTTTGTATTTGTGTGTGGAAAGATTCTGGCTTTTCCAGTGCCAATTTATAGATATGGAAAAATAAAAATAAAGGTGAATTGCAGCCGTGTTGGTTAATCACAAATATTGTTACCCTACTCTTTCATAATTTATATGTTCTTTATGAAAGTGGAATTATGACTCAATTGTTTCAACACATACCACATTTGTTACACCATTAATCTGCACATAATAACACACACTTATATATATGTGTGCTTATATCTGTGTAGTTATTTATGTAGATCTACAGTTTATGTCTTCAAAGTGTATATATATGTATGGGTGCAAATTTAGACCCGATGCCACAAAATGATTGACATGTGGATAATATAAATAAAAATATAATTAGAATTCTAATAATTGAAAAAAAAAAGAAAAAAAAAACAGCATAACCCGTAACCCCTCTAACCTTAATTATAATCAGCGTGATTTATTAAGAGATAAGACTTAAGAGAGTCACATGTCAAAAAATTAGTGGAATCCGATTTATATTAAATACCGGCTGATCCGCTCAGAATTTAATCTTTATATGTATATATAACCTGCTTTTAAATTATGCCTCTAAATATATTTTCCAATTGCAAAGAATCCACCTTCAAAATATGCACTTAACTCCCCTGTGGTTTATACCTTTGTCCACATGATCCCTTGTATTTCACAATATAAGCATATAACCCTTTGGTAGTTTGAATTTTGTGCACATGACCTCCTTGTACCTCTAATACAAGCACATAATCCTCCTATTGTATTCTACTTGGTAAATAATCATGTTCATTAGGAAGATGAATTTGAAAGTACATGGTAGTTATGTGTTTAAATTAAAATACAAAAAGAACACGCGTTATATTAAAAGTACGAGGAAATCATGTATACAAAGTTCAAACTACAGGGGGCTAAGTGCTATTTACTCAAAATTGTAATTCTCAATATATAATGAACAATTATTAGTTTAAAATTAAATGGAAATGATGTGCATATATAAAGTGATAATGAGGAAGACTTTGGGCAAGCCACGCTTATGAATGATGAGATATGATAATGGTGCACTATTATTCCTCATGCTCCTCATCATATCATACCCATTATGTTTATAAATTAAATTTTGCTCAAAAATCAAAATTAAATCTAATATATTTCCTGCTCCGATTCAAAAATCAAAACAGTTTAAATCGAAATCAAAATTTTAGAAATCCAAGTCCCAAAGTTGAAAATTTTGGATATTTACCAAATCGATATAATTAATCCAAAATTTCTCATGAATTTTCGGTGGTATAATTAATAACTAAGACAGTGTTTGGCTATACTTGTAAGATGTTAAAAAGATCTTATACGATGTTTAAGAGCTTAAAAACTCTTTCAAAATGTTTGGCTTTTTTTATATAACTAATATTAAAAATTCAAAAAACTAGTTGCTAAATGGTTTTTAAGATCTTTTTTAAAGTACATCTAGAGGGCGTTCGGCTAAGCTTATTTTAAACAGCTGATAAGCTCTTACATCTGATAAGATGTTTTAAGAGCTGATAAGCTGTTACATCTTATTTTTTGGATTAATTTTTGGAGTGTTTGGATAATGAACTTATTTATTATTTTACTCATTATAAGATCTTAAATAAAAAGGTGGGGTAGAGGTACTTTTTTAAAAAGATCTTATTTGCCCTCCAACAACTTATTTTATAAAAAAATAAGATCTTTTCTAAAAAAATTACCAAACACTTTGGAAGAGCTTATAAGCTCTAAAACATCTTATAAGTTCCTTTTAACATCTTATAAGCTTAGCCAAACACCCTTGTAGTCCACATATTTGATTAAGATTTTATAATGAGGAAGTGAATAACTTATAAGCTCTTTATCCAAATATTTAAAGATTAATTCTAAAAATAAAACGTAGCAGCTTCTCAGCCCTTCAAATAGTTTATTATTAGACGTTCGAGCTAGCTTATCGGCTACTTAATTAGTGTCTAAAATAATTTAGCCAAACCAACACTAACACTAAAGTTAACCGTAGCTATGGCGTCTTCCGCTTTTACAGGGTTTCTTGAGAATGAAAGACATGCCTTTGAAAAAGCCAATTCTGTTTGGTTGGTTAGGAAGTACTCAATTGTCTCAATGTGAGTAAAATGGAAAGATCAAAACATTTTCCCTGTAACAACTTTCTTCAAAACGAGGGCATTACTCTTATTCAAAATCACTTCTATTTTTTTTTTCCTTGCTAGTGCTTGCAATTCTTTTTTGCAAATTGATCATGAGTTTTTTCTTGTCTCATAATAAGTTAATCAGCTTTAGTGTTAGGAAAATTTTACTAACGGGGTGGGTTTTCCATGGCTATATCCCTATGAACACAAGGCCGCAAACACAAATGCTTGTGAAAAAATTAGTATTGCAAATAGCCGCTCTTTAAAATAACTAGTCTTTTTTTTTCCAAAAAAAAAAATAAATAGTTTTTGGGGGCAAAAATGTCATTATACAACTAAGTGGGCTTAGGGGTATGAATGAGCCGAGCTCAGCTGTTTTGGCAGGCTCGAGCTCGAGCTCAAGGCCAAACTCATTTTTATTTTTTTTAATTATTTTTTTAATATTAAAAAGTATTTATATATATTATAACAAAATAAATAATGAACTTTAATTATATTTTTTTTAAAATTTCTATATGTTCTTTTTATATTATTATATAGTATTACTTAAATAAAAAATAATATATATAAAAAAAGGCTCACGCGCCGGCTCGTGGCTCGTGAGTTCACGAACAACTTGAAAAAAGTTCGAGCTCAAGCTCGGCTATAACTCGAGTTCGAATTCGAGATTTTTCCGAGTCAAGCCAGCTAGACACGGCCACGGGCCGGTTCGGGCCGGTTCGGGGCGGTTCAAACCGGTTGGCGGTTCACATTTTCCGGAACCGGCCCGTAGTATGCGCGGTTCAGCGGGCCGGTCGGGCCGGTTCCGGGTCGGGCCGAAAATTTTGAATTTTTTTTTTTTGAAATATGTTATGAATAAGTAAATTAAAAGAAGTACTTTTAAATAGAAAAAGGAAAACGAAATAAATGAAATGACTTTAACTTAATTTTAAATTCAAAATTTTAAAGATTTCGAATTTAAAATGATTTTTTGAAATATTTTATTAATAAGTAAATTAAAAGAAGTACTTTTAAATAGAAAAGGAAAAGAAAATAAATAAAAAGACTTGAACTTAATTTTAAATTCAAAATTTTAAAGATTTCGAATTTAAAATGATTTTTTGAAATATTTTATGAACAAGTAAATTAAATTGGGGGGGAAAAAATCAAAAAAAAATAAATAACGGCCGGTTCACCCGGGCCGGTTCAGCGGGCCGGTTCAGCGGGCCGGTTCACCCAGGCCGGTTCACTAGCCGTTATTTGCTTTTTTTTTGAATTTTTTTTTTTTTTTTTTATAAATCCGGGTGAATCACCGGGCCGGCCCGGCGGTTCACGGTTCACCATTTTTCAGAACCGGGCCCGTCCCGGGTAGGACGGGCCGGTTCACGGGTCCGGGCCGGTTCACTCGGTCAACGGGCCGGTTCCGGACCCAAAACCGGCCCGTGGCCGTGTCTAAAGGCAGCTCATTGAGCTTACAAGCCGCTTGGCGCTTTTACCACTCCTAAGTGGGCCTATGTCATGGACTAGGGCTAAAGTTGAACAATTATAGATACTTCACTCTATTTCTATTTGAAAGACTCTCAGTTTTAGTTTTTCCCCTTGAATTAAGATTTGAAACCACATTGCTACAAGAAATGTGCTCTTTCAAACTTTGGGCCTTCAAAAAGCCCATTTTATTTAAACTTTATTATATTCAGAAGAACCAGAAATTTAAATAGTTTTATCTATTACTAGTAATTGTACCCGTGCGATGCACGGGACAACAAATTGCATTGTTTTGATGTTGTAAGAATATAAACAAACGTTTGATGTATCGTATGATCAAAATTCTATTATACTGGAACATCATTAAGTATACTACACACAAAAAAAAAGAAATAACTTTACTATTGAATAATTTTCCAAATGAATTGAATCAGCTAATACCAGTAGATTGAAAATTTGAACCAGGAAAAAAATCATCAACTATGTCTTTCATGTTGAGCTTAAAAGTAATTAGATTTAATAACTTAGTTAACATAATCAAAACTAAACTATCGACAACATAAAAGGCCATCTATACATCTTGCATCGGAACTAAGCCCTTCTCCACTGCCTCATTTTCAGACTGTTTTGCCACTGGAATTAACAATTGGAAAATTAAGAAACAAAAATAAATATAAACAATAAATTAAATATCGCATACAAACAATAAGTCTTGAAGGTCGACTTCCAATAGCTTGTGGCTCCGCCCATTTTTGGTTAATTCTCTCAAATCATCCATTTCAATAACATGTCCAATAACATATAAAATGAAATAATTCTTATACATAAAATTTGAAAACTTTGGTATAAATTAATGAAACACATAATTTAACAAAATGAAATTACCGATAAGCCATGATGGAAAAAGATGTAAACTAATTGCCACACAGTCAATAGGATGAAGAAGATAAAAAACAAAATCTAAAGTCGGGTTACCAAAAGAAGAAGCCTTAAGTAGGGAAGAAATAAAATTCAAATGTTGCAGACATTATGTAAAACGATGTCACAAAATTCGCTAGGGATGAAAATCAGATTTATTTACCATTTTCTCTAAAAATCAAAAATCAGATTATTATAAATAATATCTAGGAGGATTTGATGAAAATCGATAATAATATTTAAAATAATATTTAGGAGATAACAATTTGATAGAAAAATCAAAAAATAATATTTAAAAGGTAAAAATCTGATAAAAATCGAAAATAAAATTTAAAATAATAGTTAGAAGATAAAAATTTGATAAAAATCGAAAATAATATTTCAAATAATGTTAATGAGATAAAAGTTAATAAAATACGAAAATAATAATTAGAATAATATTTAGGAGATAAAATATGATTAAAATCAAAATTATTATTTAAAATAATATTTAGGAGATAAAAATTTGATAAAAATCAAAAATAATATTTAGGAGACAATAATCTGATAAAAAACAAAATTAATATTTAGGAGATAAAAAACTAATAAAAACATGATAAAACTCGAAAAAAATATTTAAAATATTATTTAGGAGATATAACTTTGATAAAATTCGAAAATAATATTTAGGAGATAAAAATCTGCTAAAAGTTGAAAATTATATTTAAAATTATAGTTAGGAGATATAAAATTAATAAAATTAAAAAAATATTATTTATAATAATATTTAGGAGATAAAAATTTGATAAAAATAAAAAATAATATTTAGGAGACAAAAATCTGATAAAAATAAAAAATAATATTTAGGGGATACAAATATGATAAAATTCGAAAATAATATTTAAAATAATATTAAGGAGATAAAAATTTGATAAAAATTGAAAAAATTTTACAAATATGACATTAGGGTTTCTTAGGGTTGCCCTAGCGTTTCTTTCTTTTATATATAAGATTAGCATGTGAAGCATTATTTATTATATCTTTTTATTTCTAAAATATGGCCTCAAATGGAGGTAATGTCACAAGACATATGCCCAAGGTATTCCTTTCTTTCTAGCTAACAATGTTTCTTGGCTACAAATCTTGGTATATTACCACTCCTATATAAATCCAATCTTTTTCATCTACTATTAATTACAACTTACATCAACAATTAATTACAATTATTACAACAATATTTTTTTCCGAGTTTCGTAAAGCAAATTAAAAAAAGAATGCCGATTTATTCCTCGGATTCCGACGACGCACGTCCTTCTTCTGCACCTCCGAAAAAATTGTTCGGAAGAGAAAAGCCACTCCATGCCATTCTTGGAGGCGGAAAAGGTCGATATATATATATATATCCCCATTACTTTTTAATTTTCTTTATTTATTATTAATAATATAATACCTTGATATTGTTAATATTTGAAAATAAATTGACATTCAATTCAAAACTTGCTTGTGCATGCAGCTGCTGAGGTAGTGCTATGGAGGAACAAGAACTTATCGGCTGCAATATTAATCGGAGCAACGGTGCTATGGTCTTTATTCGAAGTCGGAGAATATAACTTCGTCACGCTTTTGTGCCATGTCTCGATTATTATGATGCTTGTTCTTTTCGTTTGGTCTATGGGAGCCGGCTTCGTTGATTGGTAACATCATTTAAATTAAACCTCTATTTATATAATAATAATAATAATAATACAAACACAATATAATTCATTTTTTCCTTCTTATATATTTATATATTATTTTCATTAAATTTCCAGGAGTCCGCCCGATCCTCGAGCAATCACAATCCCGGAATCGATATTCCGATGGCTTTTCGCCGAGATGAACAGGATATTGTTGAAATTCTATCATGTTTCATCTGGCAAAGATTTGAGAACATTCCTCATGGTACTCTTATAATTAATGATGCTTTTATTTTAAATAACTAGAGTAAATTACACATACACCCCTAAAGTATGTTTAAATAACTTTAAGGTTCATGTGGTATCGGTAATTACTAGTACGCATACCTCAGGGGTGTAAATGTAATTTACCGAGGGGGTGCAAGTTGGAACATAATTTCCAATTTCCGTCGGTTACGATTCGAAAAGTTCCGATTTTGGAACAACTTTTTTCATTCCGATTTCCGAAATTCTGTTTTCCGATTTTTTGGATTGGAATTGGAATTATATAAAATAAATTTGGAATTTCCGATTTCCGATCCGATTTAATTCCGAAAAATTCCGATTTTTTTTTTCCAAAAACTACACCTATAAATAATATATATTATACAATACTTATTTTCCGAAAAATACACGTATAAGTTTTGTTTTAGGATTTTGATATAATGAATTGTTGTTAGAAGTTTTATTGGATATTATGTTGTGTTTATTTTATTTATTTTTTTGAACTGAAATTTAGTAGTTATTAGTTTTACTTTTATCGACGTGGATGTTCTTATTTTTTGAAAAAATCTGAACATTTTAGAAAATTTCAGCTACGTTTTGAAATTTTAAAGCTTATGCGATTTCCGATTTTTTCCGAGATTCCGAAATTTCCGGGCCTTTTGGAATTGGAATGAATTTTTAGATTCCGAAAATTTTGGAATTGATTTTGTACTTCTGAATTTTCAAATTTCCGAAAAAGCTAATTGCGATCCGATCCATCCGACTTCCACCCATAAATTTACCTAATAGCACAGGGACCTTAAAGTTATTTAAGCATACCTCAGGGGTGTATGTGTAATTTACCCAAATAACTTTAAACATTTTACATTTTTTCAATCATTTTTTTGCTAATTATGTGTTTTTATTTTCTTAATTCATCAGGCAATAACGTTCCTGTGGATATTGTCGGGGATTGGAAACTACTTTAGCTCCATAAACCTCTTATATATTGGTAATTAAAAAATAAAAAAATTGGTGATTTTCAAATTTTTTTTTTTATATATATTATGTGAGTAATGAAGTAATTTAATTAATGATATTTTTTGCAAAGGTTTTCTTGGATTAATGAGTGTACCGGCACTATACGAAAGGTATCAGAGTGACGTGGATTATCTAGCAAGAAAAGGAAACAAAGATATGAAGAAACTGTACAAGAAAATTGACACCAACTTTCTTAACAAGATTCCAAGAGGCCCTGTTAAGGATAAGAAGAAATACTAATTAACCATGCTTCATTAACACTTAATAATTAATATTAATATTATATTGTTGTTGCACAGTGTATTATTTCTATTTTCTAATTTTATAAAAGAATTATTTTATTTCAATTTGTTTAGTCATCATACATATATAGATAGTATACTGCATTAATTATGCTGAGAGAGAGCAATAGTTAAAAAACAACACAATACGAGGGAAAAAAAAGTCAATTCCTTTATCACCTTGACTTAATAACGACAAATATACAATAATTTCATCAACAGTAGAAAAATGACTTTTGACTACCAAATAAATACATAGCGTAAGATATTACATTAGTAGTAAAAGAAATTCGTACTGAATATGGACGTGACAACAGTTTTGCTACAGTAAACGGCTATAGCAAACCCTTTTTTTTTTTTTTGCAATGGTAAATTCTGACATTTACTATGACTCCCACATTGTCGCGGTAGTAAAATTTTGGAGACGATCCAACGGTCGCGACGATCAAAACTCCTATACGGTACGGTAACTACAAATCTGAAAATGTGCACTCACTTTTCTTGTCTATTTTCTCTCTTGTTTTCTTTTGTCGTAATTCTTTTTGGGTAGAATAGTCCTAACAAAAACTCATGTATGTGGACCACACAAAAGTAGGTTAAAAAAGGCTAAAAGATGGGTGACAATGTTTTGTATTTTTCACATAGGAAGGAACCCAGCCCAATAATTCCTCAAATCGAGATTATTGCATTCAACGCATCTCTGCTGTGTCGAATTGCTAAAATACTCTTCGTGTTGTAAATATTAGGGAGAATGCTATATAATGCATTTTTTTTAGCACACATTATATCATGTACTGCATGTGTTTTTATGCGGTAGTTTGTCGACCAAAATTTTCCGTTAATTCAACACATTAAAATGATTGTCCGGTTAATAATCCTTTTGGAGGTGAGAATGTCAAATGAGCATTAAAATGGTAGTTAGACGAATTGCAATTTGATACTTCATTTGATGTATTGCTTAGAAATGATCTCCAATCCAATCACTGGCGGAGTCAGTATAGGGTTGGATATTTCTCAAATTCCTATGATTTTATATAATTATTTTAAAAAATATTACATATAATAGCTCTAATGGCTTTTCAAATTTTTTTAATGCATTCGCCCTCAGAACTCTCCTGACTCTCCCGAACTCTCCTGACTCTCCCGAACTCATCGTGGCTCCGCTAATGAACTAAATGAAGGTATTAAATGGCTATAAAATCCATTAACTACATATCATTTGAATCCCTAAATTAAAAATAAAAAAAAAAAAAAATCTTTGGTTGTCAAAATGGAATTATATTTTGATATGTCCTCTATCGGGATGCAAAAATACAGCTGGATAAAGAATTATCAAATATCCCTTAAAAATAGCAACAAAAATACTATATGAAAATGTTAATTACCTTTTAAGTTTGTGTTTCTAACACAAATTTTAACAACTAATTTTAAATTGTCTATTGTCTATTGTCTATTTTTTTTTTTGATAATTGTCTATTGTCTATTAGAGATGGTCTTAGGATGACAATTTGCATTAATTGTTTTTTAATTTGTTTAATCTAGGAATGTTGGGGCTTGTGTTTTTTATTTTCTATCATCAATTGGCCACGTATTTTAAAGTGTGTGCCTTTGATATATATATATATATATATATATATGTGGGCATGTGATGTAATCATATTACTCTTAATTTACATTTGATTATAAATTCTTTCTTTAACGGTCTACTTCTTTTTTGAGACAGCCTAGAGTGTCAAAGTGCACTTCATTTTAGTTTGTTCCTTAGTTTTTTCCCTATCTGGCTGTAATAAAAGAAACATTGCAAGACAAATATTATTAGTTTAAGAAATAAAATCACTTGGTTTAAGCTGTCATGCCTCATCTTTTTGGTCTTTCCAGAGAACAAATTTTCAGAAGAAAAAAAATGAAAGAAAAAGAAAAATCCATTTTGCCTTAAATTACTATTTTGCAAAAAAGGAAAAAAAAAAGATCATATTAAAATGATTAGATTATGTTATTTTTAATAATATAGCCCCTAAAAAATTATAATAATAGGGTGTCCAACTTTATTTTTTTAATTTTTGAGTAGCTCTAAAAAATTCTAAAGTTAACTCTTCACCCTAGATTTTCACGATTACCTTCTTCTCATCGTCTGGACATCAAATACTTTCACTGTCGTCGAGCCACCACCATCTGGACATCAAAATCTCCACCACATTCGAGGAGTCTGGACATCAAAACACCTCCATCGTCGGAATGGAAACACCCTCCTCTCATAAACCGACAACTTCCTCCTTTACTGCATTGACCACGCATCACGTAGCAGAGCTTCTCCCATCCATTCGAAACACTTCAATTTTTATGCCGTCGATTTTAGTATTGTTACGAGACAGTTTATGTAATTAACTATAATCCATTAACAAAACAACAACACAAACATCGCAGTCGATTTACGTCCATTTTAATACAGAATTTCGCAAAAAAACATAAGTAGAGAGTTAGCACTAATTATTTCCAAAGCGTGAACCTATCTCCATGAATTTTCCAAACCGGATTTTTCACTAATTCTCACATCAAAGTAATTCTATTTCTTAAAAAAAAAAAAAAAACAAAAAAAAAAAAAAAAAAACAGGAATTTTATTTCCCTTCCCATCAACTGAAAATAAAGACAAACATGAAACACAGTACAATGTCAATTGCTTACAGACAAAAAAAAAAAAGAAAGGAAGAAGTACAGTGTGTTAATTCACGAAGATAGATGGATGCAAAATACACACACACACACACAGCTTCCTTTTCGTTTTTAGCACTGTTGTTTTCTTTCTCGTAAAAAAACTATTTTCCCAATGTCCCCTTTTGCTGCTTACCTTCACAAATCAACTTTACCTTTTCCCCAAACCCCACTTTTTCTTCTTCGTCAAACCTTTCACACACACACACACACACACACTCTCTCTCTCTCTCTCTCTCTCTCTCTCTCTCTCTTCTCTGAAGCACCATTCCTTCTCAAACCACAAAAGCTAACCTCCGAAAAAACCCATTTCTTCACTCAGTGGATTTCCAACGGTCACATTTCTCATTTTCTCAAAACCAAAAAAAAAAAATGCTACCTTTCCTCACTTTCTTGATTTCAACCCTCTGCATTTCTTCTTCCATACTCGTCGCAACTTCATTGAACGAAGAAGGCGAAGCTCTCCTCTCATTCAAATCCTCCATTAAAGAAGACCCAAATGGGTCGCTCAACAACTGGAACTCCTCCGACCAAACCTCATGTTCTTGGAACGGCATTACATGCAAAGACCAAAGAGTTGTCTCCATCTCCATCCCCAAGAAGAAACTCTCCGGGTTTCTCTCTCCTTCCCTCGGATCTCTCTCCGAACTCCGACACATCAATTTAAGAAGCAACAATCTCTCCGGCGAATTGCCCCCCGAACTTTTCAAGGCAAAGGGTCTCCAAAGCTTGGTTCTTTATGAGAATTCGTTTTCCGGAACGGTGCCGTTTGAGGTTAGCAATCTTGAGTATCTTCAGACATTGGATTTATCTCGTAATTTGTTTAATGGGTCGTTGCCCACGTTGTTGATTCAGTGCAAAAGGTTGAGGAATCTTGATCTTAGTCATAATAATTTTAGTGGCCTTTTGCCTATTGGGTTTGGTAAGAATTTGGGTTTGTTGGAAAAGCTTGATCTTTCATTCAACGCCTTTAGTGGTTCAATTCCTAGTGATTTAGGGTTCTTGTCTAATTTGCAAGGGACTGTTGATTTGTCTCATAATATGTTTAATGGCTCGATTCCTATTAGTCTCGGTAATTTACCGGAGAAAGTTTACATCGATCTTACGTATAATAAACTAACCGGTCCGATTCCGCAGAACGGGGCTTTGATAAATCGAGGGCCGACGGCTTTTATCGGTAACCCTGGTCTTTGTGGTCCTCCGTTGAAGAATCTTTGTTCTTCTGATAGTCAAGAAAGTAGTACTTCACCTTCGTCGGTTCCTTACTTACCGAATAACAATCCGAGCCGAGGTGTGAGTGGACGAGGGCTGAGTAAAGCTGCTGTGGTTGCTATTATTGTCGGGGATATAATCGGTATTTGTGTTATTGGTTTGCTGTTTTCGTATTGCTACTCGAGAATTTGCGGTTGTGGTGGTGGTATTAAAAGAAAGGATGAAAATGCGTACGGTTTTGGGAAGGGTAGTAAAGGAAGAAAGGAATGTTTGTGCTTTACGAAAGATGAATCGGAGACTCTGTCTGAAAATGTCGAGCAATACGGCTTAGTGCCTTTGGACACGCATATAGCGTTCGATTTAGACGAGCTTTTGAAGGCGTCCGCTTTTGTTCTTGGCAAGAGCGGAATCGGGATTGTGTACAAAGTTGTGCTTGAGGACGGGCTTACTTTAGCTGTCAGAAGATTGGGCGAAGGCGGTTCGCAAAGGCTTAAAGAATTTCAGACGGAAGTCGAAGCCATCGGAAAATTGCGACACCCGAATATCGTAACACTCAAAGCTTACTATTGGTCGGTCGATGAGAAGCTTCTGATTTACGATTTTGTCCCTAATGACAATCTTGCTACTGCACTTCATGGTTAGTTTTTTTATTCTTTCTTTTTCAAGAACCAAAAATTAATTTCGTGTCGTATACTTATAGTAACTTCAATTTATTTTTTATCATTTTTGTTTTTTAAAAGGAAAACCCGGGTTGGTAACATTTACGCCGCTTTCATGGTCTGCTCGATTAAAGATAATGAAAGGAGTAGCGAAAGGGCTCGTTTATCTACACGAGTACAGCCCCAAAAAATACGTACACGGTGATCTTAAACCATCCAACATACTACTCGGCCACGACATGGAGCCGAAGATTTCCAATTTCGGCCTCGGCCGATTAGCCAACATAGCTGGTGGGTCCCCCACAATGCAGTCGAACCGAATGGTAATTACCGAAAAACCGCAACAACAGATCAGCAGCTCCGCATCAGCTTCGGAAGCAGCCACGTTTGCGTCTTCTTACAGCTCGTACTATCAAGCGCCCGAGGCGTTGAAAGTGGTGAAGCCGTCTCAAAAGTGGGATATATATTCGTACGGTGTGATTTTGCTCGAGATGATTACGGGTAGATCGCCGTGGTTGAGAGGGGACTCGGAAAGGAT